TTAAAACACCATTATATCGGTTTGTGTGACGTAAGCTACGTTAAAGCTACTTTGAAGCTACTTAAAAGTAGCTTTTCGGTAGGCGTTCGATTGCGAATTATAATATATATATATAATCATTAATTAATAAGAATAATTGAACATTGAAAATAAACAGATATATATATATATATATATATATAATGATCATGGGTATTCCCACGATTGAAATTAATTAACGGGAAGACAATCGACACTCCAAATTATAAGATCTATGCCCTTAATTGATTTTAATAATCAATGTATATATATATTGGTAATCCAACGGCTACCGAAAAGCTACTTTAAAGCTACTTTAAAGCGACTTTTAAGCAGCTTTAAAGTCGATTTTAAGTCGGTTTTGAGCTACTTGAAAGTCGCATTTAAGCTTCCTTTTAAGTAGGCACGTGGCTCTGAGCCGTAGTTCCAGTAGCCTAAAGTATGAGTCCTACGTGACTAAGTAGCTGAGCCGTACGTCCAGTAGCTTAAAGTATCTGGTTATGAGTCGTTTCCCAACGTCCCTGGCCATAGTTCGATAACTGGATATTAAGTGTGTGATTAAGTTGCTCTCCTTTTCATTAATTAACAAATTTTTCTTTCCAGGTAGGCAGTTGATAGTTTAAAACGATTTTATAAATGCAAGATTTTATCTTTTTCGGATCATTAAGTAATATATTGCTCTCCTTAAAAATTCGCTACTAAAAGTGTTCTTTGCTGACTAGGTAGTCATCGTGTGAATTCTACAATTGTCGAAATAGTTACATGACGTTCATGCTGATTCCAGAACGACTATATAGACCCCTGAGCGGTTTCGGCCCACGATTTTTCTACTGGAGAGCGAAATTCTGGCTGGTTTTGATGGTCCAGGCATAGGCCAGCAGAAGCTTGTTTAGTACGTTAGTACTATGCATATGGACCGGGGAAAACCAGCATGTGAAGGCGAAACGTCCCTGGTGTCTGTTTAGTCGTCGTGTAGTTATCGCCAGTTTTCCAACAAAAATTTTGTCTTCTCGTGTGATCTCGAACCCGTCACTGCTCGCAGGATACTCGGAAATGAGGTACAGATAAGGAACGAACAGAAAAAAAAACGCGCAAGACGAGACAATTGATTCCAAATTTTAGGCGTCAGTCAAAAAACTACTTATTGCATAGAATGAAAAAATATCATGATATATTCTCCGCAATATATTCTCCACAAACTTCGAGAAAGACTCTAAGCATTACTAACCCCAGTACCGAAAGTTAGTACCGGAAGACGGAAATGGTATGGGGTATGTGACAATGGTGCTTTGACTACAAGTACCGGTACGTACGTATGGTTTCTTCTCATCGCAAATATTGTTGAATGCTACAGCTGAACAATTTTCTCTTATCCATCGTTTTTTGTCATCGCAAAATCAAAATTGGAGATACGAAAATAGTGAGCTACCACTCTCACAAAATTCAAACTCAGTTTCATCCCTAGTATCTTCACGACCATACTTGAAACATGTCAACCGAGACCAAGCATGAAGAGGAAAGTAACCATGAAGAAGACACCGATGATGACGACAACGATGACGAAGAAAGCGATGACGAAGAAAGCGATGATGAAGACAGCGATAGCGACGACAGCGATAGCGACGACAGCGATAGCGACGACAGCGATTCCGACTATGACTCTAAGCCTGGCTTGCTTAGCGGTGTAGGAGCATTGGTAGGAAAAATGAGCATCAATATTCCACCGAAAAATAATCCACAGATAAAGAAGAAGAAGAAGAAGAAGAAGAAGACGAAGACCGAGGAGGAGGTTAAATCGAAGAAGTAGGATAAGAAGGACGAGAGTAAGAAGGAGGAGGCCGGGGGAGATTAAGCAATATCACCTGAATCGCCCAATCGGTGGAAGAGATCGTGAATGTTCAGTGACTTTAATCCGAGATGCGAGAGCGCGAGATTTCTTGTAGCTGTATTGATATGTGACTGTACCATACCCTTTCGACTAGTTCATTACTAAAATGCTTATTAGATTGATATTAACCGAAACAGTCTAAAGAAGAACAAAGTCAACTAGTGATTTCGTTACACGCATACCATTAGTACGAAGTTATTGTTTTCGTTTTTCCCAACAATTCGAAGGGCTCCACAAATTTTGGCTTCGTTGTGTTCCAGTCTGCTAGAAACCCGATCCGAAAAATGCCAAGAAAGCAGAAACTTGTTGGTCGAATATGAAATGGAAGGTTGCAATGGCACACTCTCCACGACAGAAGAAGTGTAAGATGTCGCAAGTTATAGCTTCATTACGGGGGAAGTCTTTGATGTCATCAAATCATAACAAGATATTCAACGTCAGAAGTAAAGCCATAGGTTTTGGGATTTGGACTGATTTAGATATTTATTGATTGAACCTATCGTAGAGATGGGGTTTCCATAGACACTGATTTGTGAACCTTGTAGTATTTGAGAAACCCGTGAGAATTCTGTAGAATGAGTGCCGCACCGATGTGGAGTTCCAAGCGCGTATTGAAGTCCACAAAGTCTTCCATGTAGTTTGAGGAAATCTCATCTCTTAAGGTCAACTTTCCGTGTCTACACTATTTTTTTCTCCAGGTACAATCTTGATTGTTTTTACTTTTCACACAATATATATGGTATCATCTGAGCTACCGACTCGACGAAACCAGACTCGAACCAACCTCGTAAGAAGTATCGCTCAGCAATGCCGGCAACCATAAATGTCAACATCGATGCCGTCGCTACCGAAGGAAGAGTTTCAATCGCAGCTTGAAGCCTTCGAGGGTAGCACCTGTTCCAAATCCACGTTTCACCTACCATGAGAAGCCCCATGAAAAAGAAGAAACATGTTACTTCACCCGGGCGATATCCCGAGGGTGACGACAACGACCGATGGTTGATAATTGCAAAATTATATTCGTGCAACAAGCCCGATCCGAAAAATGTCAATAAAGCAGAAGCTTGTTGGTTAAATAGTCCCGATCTCCGAGCAGGGACATATAATGTTCTTTTCAACAAAGCGTTCACTGGTCGATTCCATCGAGTGCCCCACGTTTCTTTGTAAGAACGGGATCCCAGCAACGGATTATAGAATCCCGGTTCCATTCTCATTCCACCTGATATGCCATAGTTTACAATTGTTGAGAAATCCAAACAAAAGGCGAAAAACAAATAAAGAAGCCACAAGTGAAAGAATCCATTGATGTTGGTCGAAAATAACCATAGATTAAAGCCATTGCCAAATTCATCGTCCTCGTTCAATGAGGAAGAGGAAAACGGGATTGCCGTCATGACACGGTAATATGGCGGGTGGGATCGCAACAATATTGTCAGGATGATGGACAGTGCAACTATCTTGATACTAAAATCGCGTATCTTGACCAAAATTTCGTTCCGGTCTGCTTTGATCAATTTTCCTTTTGCAAATGATGGTTCCGGCATCATGAAGAACCAAAACAACCATGTGCAAAGATCTCTGTCGGCACCTTTCGGATAATTTCCGAATGCAGAGTTCAGCGACTTAAAAAACGCTGCAAATCCAAACGTCGAAGCCAACAGGGGACCCATCCATCTTATCTCTTCGTTTGGGGCATAACTCTCGATTTTCGGTCTTCCTGTGTATATCAATGATGCCACCGCTGTCCCCACAGTGCAGCATAGGAACGATTTCGTTGTTTCGGAGATGGAACTGTACGCTTTCGTTGTGTCTGTAGGCCCTTTTGCTCCTGGCATTATTACATAGTAGAGCAAGATTCCTGTGGGAATGGCACCGAAAAGGCAACATCCTGTGTGTACAGAAATAGCGTACATCCAAGAATGAAACGACGGCACAATGATCGAACACTCCTCGATTGAAAAATATGATGGATCTCTCATATTCAACAACAAAAACGTATCGAAGTCTGTAGGAATGTACTCAGTGATTGCGCTCCTTGCGTTGACAAATGGGGGTTTCCATTTTGTTGTGTTTTGGAATTCAAGAGATTTAGCGTCACGTGAACATTTCTTGCCGTTTTTCGAACCTGGTGTTTCCGATTGATATCTTTTGAAGAGTTGCTGATTCGACGGAGTCTATGTTTGTTGTCACTCCTGAGCAATCATGGGAAAGCTGGTGCCGTATCCTATCGTGGGGTACGACCTCGTACTGTATCTGTATGAGGACGAAATGCAACTAATTTTGCAACAGTAGGAAAATCATGTACAATTCTACGTACATATACATGGTTTTGATTCCTACTGCCATCTACCATGCAAGTCGGTTGAGCAGAATTACTTGCATCATCAAGCATAAGGCAATTTCCATAATAAACAGATATATGATGGATGTAATTCTTGAAAATAACAGAAACATATTATTATTATGGCATTATTCTATGATCTTAGAGGGGGGGGACGACAAGTAGGTAGTACAATTTTTATCAGCAAGAAGAAGAAGAAGAACAAGAACAACTTCTTCTTGTTCATATCAGCATCCTCCATATCAGCACCATCCTCCCCTTCATAGTATCAGCATCTTTGGTAGCAGCAGGTCCCCCCCTGTGATTGCAGGATCTGCACCAATACTAACATAATCATAGACCATAATTATAAAAAGAGGGCATTTGCGCACATCAGACTCAAAATTTTATTCCTGGGTTCCACCACACTCGTCAATCTACTAGTCATTTTTGAATGGGGGGGGGTCTGAGGGTTGTCCAAAAATGACAAGATTTTGTCAATCTAGACCTCATTTTTTGTCTGTCCATCTATCAAATCTAGCCAATCTACTAGATTAACCGGAATTACCCAATGGCTGAGAATGCACCTCAAAGGTCACTTGAATATGACCATCATGACAATGTGGTATACTGTATTCCTCAGTTACTAACCACACCAAAAAGTCATTACAGTTGCAAAGGTAGTGGTATGACTTCTTACAGTATATGGGTATTTTGTGTCATAGCTCTGTGTAGTAGGATTTTTTGTTGATGTTGAGGCAATAATGATAATGCAATTTGAGTTGGAAAATGGGAATCATTCCATACTACTTAGTAATACTACTAGCAGTGCTAACCACCAGGACTCACTTGACTGACTGACTTTCTATGTAATAACCCCACCAGCACATTTACAATATTACAGAAAAGACCACCAAAGTAGATGATATCTTTGTTGGCTGCATGGTACTGTGCTACCCAGCAGGGAGTTTGCCTGTCAATATTAATTGGTTGTAGTAATATTCTAAAAAAAATCTTTATATTATTTTTAACCTCATGAGCTAGAAGAGGCGCTATATGGCCAGAACCATATCTTTTGGTGGAAAGAATGCTTCTAGCTGCTCCGAGGGGTAGCTTCCCTCTGAGGATTTTTAGTGGAAGGGCGACCAGGGGTGTGTTTCACTGGAATAAAAAGAATTGACTGACCTTGGTTTGAAGTAAACTGGAAGAATTGACAGGAGGAACCAAAGAAGTATCTGGCACAACCAGTTGTTTGTGTTGCTTCTTTTTGGAGTAAGCATCAAAACTAGTGAATCTTGTGTGACACTCTCTGGTGGTTGTTTACTATGAGGCATTGGCGTAAAGTACTGGGTAATAGGGCGAGTGTTGGAGACTGTAGCACTCAAGGCTTGATTGACACTTGCGTCTTCTCGTAGACTCGATGATAATATGTGAGCATGGAAGTAGATGCATTTGATAAGAAGGCATCCCTATCCTCTGGGAATAGGTGAGCGTGGGATGGACAAGTCTGTGATTTCAGTTCAAACAGAGTGCAGACCTTCGTCACCACCCGCTGTCGATGCTTGGCTTGTTTCTGGGAAAGCATGTAGCCATGGAGATCTTTGTTTTGCTGTTCCCATAACGATATATAGGAGGTAAGAAAGAATTCCACAACATAGCCCCCCAACACGAGCGGGGAGTAGTTGTAGTAATATTCTAGTAGTAGTACTACTACTACTATTGCTACTAGTAGTACAAGAAGGAACAAACCCTAATGTGTGGCACAGATCTATGATGGGTTATGGGTACACTAAAACACACTGCTTTGAGCTATGTTGCATCCTTTCTACTATTTGCTAACAAAGGACCAATCAGAATTACAGAATCTGTTAGTCAGTAAGGTTTTTTTTTCCTTCTCTAGCTAGTACCCAGAGAGGGAAGCTTGTCTGGCTTGTTGTCAATTGCTACTCTGCACATGAAAAATGCAAAAAACTCCATTTTCAACACTTCATTGAACTGACCTGTCTCACCCTCCAGAAAGTGCAGTAAACAACACTTTCCATCTCACCCATCCATGGAATAACTTCAATAACAAGGATAGTGGGATCCGGAAGTCTCAAATCAATTGACTGAGTGGTTTGGAAGAAAATAGATGTATTCAAGAACCAGCAGCAAAAATATTGACAAAATAGGAGAAAAAAAGAGCTCAACTGCATCTTTTAAAACACCATCTTCCCCTCCATGGCCAAAACAATCAGTGCATTCAACATCCTTATTTTTATATGAAATATGAGGTGATCCAGGAGTTGTGGATTGATTGTTTGTGTCCTTTAGACAAAAAAGCAGTTTTCAATATTTTGACCATGAATAACAGCAACAACAACAACAACAACAGCAGCAGCAGCAGCAGCAACAACAGCAGCAGCAACAACAACAGCAACACCAGCAACAGCAGCAGCMATCACCAGTAGGGGGAGGTAAGTTACAATAATCCACATCATGGATCATTGAAAGGATGGGGCTGATTGCTGATGCTGGCATTTGCAGGAGTGTTAGGGGAAAGAATTGAACAACAAGTGCACAGAAACAGGAGCTAGAGCTCAAATGGTTGCCAAGCTGGGGAACCAGAAGTGCTCTGTCGGGAAAGCAATGATGTTTACACATTTCACTGCAGAGGAGTGCAGTAAAAAGGACTGCATAAGAGAGTTGTAAGATGCATGGACAAGCTGGAGCTTCTACAAGTAGCTGTTGGAGTTCCCCCCTATCATCATACATTGACTGTTCTTCATCAGATGTATCAGGCCTTGCAGGAAGTACCACAGCTACTGGCACTGGCACCAACAACAACACTAGCAAAGAAGATGACAGCAACCATGATGATGAAGGAACATTGACTGAGACACTGATTGTGATGATTCTGTTATCAATGGTCCCCCAAAGAAGAAGAAAGTGTGAGCCCCATCTGACTGCACAGTATTTCCATTTGTTAAAGGTTGACAACAAGCATAACAAAAACAAGAAGCTACTGGTAAAAGATACAGCATATCTTTCAGTAGTAAAGAAGATCAAGCACAAGAGGTCTCTTGGAAACATGACCAACATAAGTGCTGCAGTTTCCTGAGTCAACAAGCATTACAATGTTGTTGAATCAAGTACAGAAACAGTTTGGCAATGTTTAAAGAATGCAGGCCTATAATATACCCCCTATTGGCATTGTGGACAGCCCTCCAGTTTACTACCAGTGGTGGTGGAGGCAGCACTAGTATAGGGGATTGCCTCATATGTTGCCCTCAGGTATGATGAAATGAAAAAGCAGCCAAACCAAAAGGCACTGACTCAGATGATAGCATCATGCCTTAACTGAGGTCCAACTGTACTAAAAAATTACACTAAAATTTACAATTGTCTTTCCCATTTATTTGGGTCTCACTTTTCTGTTGTCATAGGATGTTCAAGGATTGAAGACAGACAAGCCAAGTGGACTACATATAACAATATTAACATATTGTTCAACAAAGTGAAGAATAGGTTGATCTCTGATGGATGGGAAAAGAGAGAAGACTGATAACAACAGCAAGATTGATTGGGAACTTGTACTCTTTGACAGGCAACTCAATAGGGTCCTGAACCTTGACAAAAGTGCTTTAACCCTTGAGGGTAATCATTCCTTGCCAGGAGGTCATTCTTCTACACAATTTGACTCTTCTAATCATCAAGCTATTGCATGTGTGCTCAAGCTAGGTGAAGAAAAATGTTCCAGTCCACAATTTGGTATTGCAGGAGGAGACAGACTTGACACCAATGATCATTTTATTGCTGATTAAAAGGAAGGAGTCACAAGTGCAGATTGAAGACCTAAATCCAAAGCAACATCATTCAGCATTCTAATGAGGACTTATCCTTTGATTTAGATGATAACAACCCAGCAATAGGTGCTGAGGATGGGGGTTCAAATCCCCACTTGGTTGCTCTTTCTTCAGAAAGACTCCTCAGAGTGAATCACTGCCCTTTGGAGCAACTGGTCGCATTCTTCCCCCTTGGGTGCAGGAATGGCTCTTGCCATTATAGTGCCTCTTGTAGTTCATGAAGTTAAATATCGTTACTAAGATTTTATCATCAGCATTCTAGTATTAGTCATGCTTAAATTCCATACCACTCATCTAAACTCATGCACATTGTTCTCTTTTGCTACTAGTACTACTATACATGATGGTTTGAGCTTTCCAAATTCATTGTTCATAACACCAGCAAAAATGATGGTTCCTGAATGAATATTGTTCAATAAGCTTTTATTATAAGTTGTGTAAAAGAGAATGAAAGCTGATTATGAAAGCAGCAGGTATTTTACAGAATTGAGTTCAATTGAAATTGTGATCCAAATATTATTCTACACAAATCAAATTGTGTCAAATTCTGATTTGATTCAATTGATTCATTTTGGTGATGATATTTGTTTCACCTGCTATTGCTTTCAGGATCCACCACCAGTTGGCAACTACTAGTAGTAGCTTGTTATGTGAAAAAAAAACTCAATTTTTTAAAATACATGTTTTTATTGATAATGACAATGACAGCAATGACAATAATGACGGCAAGAGGAGTGCCTTTCTTGTTGTTGCTTGCTACACACTAAACTCTACCTCTGGAGATACTGGCCTTCTTGGCACCACCAATTAAGTAGTACATGTTTGGATCACTCCAGACAGGAGTAGATATGATACAATGGAAGGATGTACACTACTTCCTATGGATTGTTTAGTAGTCCTCCTCCAACCTCTTGCTAGTATTGAGGCAGTTTTCAGTGTGAGTTGTAAAAATCTTTGCCTACTACTGCTGGTGTTTTGTCCAATAGGAAGGATACCCTCTCACCAGGATCAAGAATGATAACCTGCTGGATATAGCCTCCTCTTTCAATTGCTGGAGCCCCAATGGTACTAAATATTGAGCCTGAATCTTTTGGAGTGTGCTCAATGAATATTATGTAGTATGGAACCTCATCTTCAACACCTGCAAAACAGCAAAAACAAAGTATGTGAATTTAGTAGCAGTGGCCTGTAGTCAAGGATTCCAGCAATGAAATGAACTACAGCCACAATTTATGCATCGATGAATATTTGCTGTTTCTGTTAGAGAGAGAGAGAGAGAGATACATTGTAACTCCTCCCTTTGGTGCTACAGAGAATATGAATAGCTCTATTTACCGGCAACAATAATATTTACAGTTTGTCATGAGTTGGAAATATTGGAGATTTTATTCGGATCTTGGAATGAAAAACTCATCCTATTTATGATTACTATGATGATATACAAAAAATATCATTTTGTAAGCTTTCCTTCCAAAAGTGCACCTTCGATCATAGCGTTCATTTTTTCCATTTCGTTGTTGTCCGTCCACGGCAACTCTTTTTTTTCACCTTCTGTAGCAGACAAAGACGACGATAGCATTACATCCCATTCCTTGCCAACGTCAAATTCGACAGCTTTCAGCAAACGCAGAGCCTCGAGTGGACGACTGGATTGCAATGCTTTTCCTAATATTTTTTGTCTTTCCTGTTGAACTTCTTGCCCGAATCCAACCCACAATAAATTTACGTCACCCCAAAATTCACGTGGCAACCAGGATTCTAGCTGCTTCCTGGTCTGTTCGGGTGTTTTCGTGTCTGGAGACACCCACCCGAGTTTTGGAAACAACCGTTGCATGTGGGTGTCGACTCCGATTCCAGATTGTCGATCCCAGCAAATGTTTTCGATGATATATGCCATCTTTGGACCAATCCCTGGTAAGTTTTTTATCATCTCATCTGCTGTGGAAGGTATATCACCACTGTATTCCTCCTGCAGAATCTGAGCAACTTGCTTTATGTATTTTGTTTTGTTATTGCGAAAACCAACACTGTATATTTTCGAGTTTAATACTTTCGGATCCATCGCGAGGATCGAGGCTACGGTCAAGCCACCACTTCCATCACTTGTGTCTCGAAGGTTTTTCATTGCTTGCCCAACCATAGCATCCTTCGTCTGACTCGATAACATGAGTGCAATCAGTGTTTGAAAACGCCGAGTTTTGAGCAAATCTTCGTCGCCATTCTCAGTTTCATCTCGCATCGGCATCACCAAAGCCTCGGCTCCCATGTAGTCACAGGGAGCTGTCTTGTCCTTCCGCAATTCTTCGACCAGTGTGTACGTCTCGCGCCAACCAGCAGGAGCTTGCCAAATTGCGGTGCCTGTGGTCGCCTTCTTTTTCTTCGTTGTGGTCTTGGCCTTCTTTTTCTTTCCTCCCGATTTCTTCTTGGTTTCGGCAGCGGTTTTCGTCGGAGTTTTTGTTTTTGCTTTTGATTTCGTTTTCGCTATCGTCTTGGTTTTCGAATCATTTTTCTCGCTGCTAACATCGATATTACAACTGATCGGTGGTTCGGGCGTTACTGGGATAGCGTTTGTGCCACGAATAGGTGTAGAAGCGACGGTCGTAGCTTTCACCTTTCTGCCTCGTTTCGCCGTTTCTCGTTTTCCGTCCACTCCGGCATCGGGAGTGCTCTCACTAGTGGGACAGCTCTTTAGACCCCCACTAATGCTTCGCGTCACGCGTTTTTCCGAAGGCACCACTGGAATAATTCCATCATGGGATAATGATACGTCCTTATTGTTGTTGCCACGCTTTCGCTTGCGCTTTGTTCCAGCGTCCACAGATTTCCCTTGGAACAGCCGGACACTCTGCCTCCGTACCTGTTCTCCTGTACCATTATCACTTTTCATTCCACGGATCCTGCTGCTTCGTCGGATTTGGAGGCTCATGGTAGGACTTGAAGGATTTTCGACCACCGATCTCCGGGACACCGTCGCCACTGTGTTTGTCGGAACCATGCCCACGATAGTGTTGCGATTAGAACTGCTATTCATGCTCGAAGTAGCAGTCAGGAAATATTTCCTTTGATTGTTCTCGATTCTGCGCGAGGAAGACCAAAAGGCTGCCTGAGCTAAATTCGTGGAACACAAAGATCGTGTCTGACAGGAGGACGACCTGAACGACGACGTTGATGCCAACAGCAGGAACTTCCACAAAGAACCCAACCGACGATGCTGACTGCGATCACGTCTCAACAACCAGCGATAGTCGTGTTGGTTTGTCGACATTTATTTTGCAAAATACTATGTTGTGACGTTGCTTGCAGAGCGTATAGTGGTTTTTATGCGGTCAATTACCAAGTTGCAACAGCATAACCTAGCTAACGCAGCATCCAGAAGGAGTTGTTATCGCTGATTTTCTAGCAGTAAATGGTTGTCGGCAGTCTGAATGAAGTACTAGTACAAGGTGTTCGTACTTCGTACAGTAATTTGTAGGCGTTAAACGCCACAAATTGGCATGAAGAAATCTCAAAATTCTTTTTGTAGCCACGATTCTTTCTGTACCTACGATAGTACATAAAGTTACGAGTATTTCTACGCACTACCAATACGAAAAAGTAGATATCTTTGCGCCATGAGCGAGCATACAAGTCGTAGTAGTCCGTCGGGATTCAATACCTTTCGGTACCATACGGTACATCATTAGCTTCTATTTGAAGCAGAGAGGGTTCACGTTTCACGGTGAATCGTGAATGGTGAACGGTGAATGGTGACTCACTAACCAGATACGTACGTACTGTACGTACTACATTTACTCGACAGGTGATGACACAACTTGGTTGATCATTTTATTTGATCATCCGATACGGTACGAACCGAGTTGTTGGATTCGTGGTACGAGTATCGTGCGAGGACGTTCTGGTAACTCGTAGTCTTTTTTTGTAACATTTTTCACCTTTACCGAACGACGACAACATTTAGAGAGATCGTAGACTTTCAAGGCACTACAATCGCTCGGCAGTAGAGTAGCTTGAAAATACTTTCGCCTTCTTAAAGTAATCTGTAGTATGAATTCAATGGTTTCTAAGCTAGTACTTGTTTCATTGTGCTGTTGCGTGTTGACATGCCAATCGTTGACGGGGCCAGCATCGATGCGACAACAGCGACGGCATCCCCGCAGAAATGCACTAACATACACTTCGTCGTCGACTTTGGGTAGCAGCACTACAGAAGAGGAAGAAGACGAAAACACAGTGGTCAGCATCGAAAATCCTAAGACCGGCCAAATTGTGACCCTGATCGGAACCGCACACATGTCGGAAAAATCCAACAACCAAGTCCAGAKGTTGATCGAAAGCCTGCAACCGAATGCTGTCATGATCGAAATTGATCCTTCCCGATTGGAACGACTCGGATTTGATAGCGCCGATGAAATTCAAGTCAGGAAGGTTACTAATTCGGAAGACATCGATTTGCCAATTGCACCTCAAACAACGAGGGGTGGCTTTCTTGGAATGGCCCAAAAGGTCTTTGTCGGTGCATTCTCGCAAATCGCACGGCTCCTGTTGACGAACATGTACAAATCCATGGAAAACGAAATGGACCAAAAGGCGGGGGGAGAATTTCTTAGAGCGGTACAATCAGCCGAAAACTGCACCGTTTGTGACACTGTCATTCTGGGGGATCGCAATTCGGTAAAAACCATCCAGCGTGTTGCTGAGTTGGCCATCGAGAGCGGAGATTTCATGGGCGTCCTGGACCGACTGCAAGGCGTTAACAAGGAAGAAATGGACAAACTAGAACCCCAAGTGAGGAAAGAACTTCTGCGCCGAAAGGGGCAAGAAGGCAACGATGACTACGAATTGGACGAGGTTGAACTTACTACTGCGATGATGGAAACTCTCAAAGAAGACAAACAGTTTCGAACACGTTTGTTTTCGAAACTCGAACAAGACGTTCCCGAATTCACGCAGGCTTTCCTCAAGGAAAGAGACTATTTGATGAGCGAATCGATTCGGCGGGAATTGGAGCTCAACCCCAAGGAAGTGAAGAACGTGGTCGGCGTAGTTGGATTAGCGCACGTTCCAGGGATGGAAAAGCACTTTCAAGCCGTCTTCTCCAACCGTCCTGCACCTCTGGTAGAGGATTTAACCTGTAGTGAAGAAAGTAAAAGAATTTAAATTGTCGTCATAAATCCTCTTGTCGTGCCTTATTGAATCGTTTCCGAAACAACAAACACAATACTATCGGTTTAGGATGTATCATCAGTACGTACCATGTAGTTTACGCTTTCTTGCTTACGAGCAAACTGTACTGGTACGTTCCTGCAACGCACCGGTTTTCTGAAAAGATCCCCGGTACGGCAGAACCGGGAAAGATCACATCGTAAAAGACGTACCGTATCGTACTTGCGAGTAACTTGCCGTCTACTATTGGTTCATAAAACCATGCCATGGTTCTCAGTTCTCATTGTGAAAGCACAGGGAATCCCGAATAACCGTGAATAATCTTGTAATCACATTCGACACTGTATTCTTTTGACTCATCCGATTGTCGATCTCGAAGAGAAAACAAAGAAGTTAAAAATTTTGTGGGAGATCGGAAATTGGAAATTCAACCTGTCAAGAGAACAACGCATTCGACAACAAACAAGTGACATGGAAGACGGAACATGGGTGCTGAAAAGAATTAGTATAACTTAAACAATACACAAAAGAACGCAAAGACGCTGGAATGGTGAATTGTACTCAATTCAGAAACTTTGCCGATGCTTCACTGCATCGGACAAGATTTTGTCTGCTTCAATTCTACCTCTTGATACTGTGCTTCGCGAACTATTCTCCCTCCGTAGACGCGTTTGTCTTCGCACCAACCTCGAAGTCTCCCGGCGCCGTTATCTTCGCAAGTCTTAACCATAATCACAATCAGGCAATTGCATCATCATCATCGACTACTATCAGTGTCGGAACATCCGTTATTGGCGATGATGGCACCCTTCCATCGTCGTCATCTCCCTCTCCAACTTTCTCGACAGCGGCCGAGTGGCATCGCGACAGGAGAAAGGCTATGATCGAGAAGTATGGCGACCAAATTTTACCTTTGGAGCGTAGCACATCTTCTCAAAACATTGGCTTGCCCTTGCTTGCAATCACAAACCTATCCCTGTTGAGTCTGAGTTTGTTTTCGGGTGTTAATGACTTGGAAGTATTTGAAATTTTTGGTTTAGCCTTGTTTCCAGGGTCAATGTTTTCTCTCTGGCAACTTCAAATTTTGCACGACTGCTTGCACGGATCATTGTTCGACAAGAATAAGCAACAGCTGGAATCTAGCGATGCAACCGTGCAGGGAAGCAGTAACAACGGACGAAGCCGTAAACAATTACAAAACGATGTATTGTTTTGGGGATCGATGCCTTCGATTTTTGGATATTTCTTGTATCTGAAGTACGGACACCTGACACACCATTCCAATGTTGGCGACCCTGATCGTGCAAGTTTGGAGAAACTATTCGATTCCAGTCAATCGAATTTCGAAGACGGGGATGTCTTGTTTGTTGCTCATCGCATGAAGTTAAAAGGGGGAATCGGGCCGACATTCGAGTTACCTTTCTTCCGGGAAGTCCCTTTTCTCCCAGAGAAAATCACGATGAGCATAAGCAAAGGTGGATTTGACCAATGGAAGATTGATTCTATGGAATCAGGGAATCTCCCCTGGAATGTAGCTGTTTTTGCTTCGTCCTTTCTTTTCGAACGATTTATGCTCCTCATCAATGATTTCGTGGTAGCCATTGCAGGACGAAATTTTTTCTTCCCTAACAAACCAGATTCTTTTCATCGAGAATGTACTGAATATGCGAGGGCAGCTTCCTTAGTGCGAGCAACCCTGTTGTTGATTGGTGGGTGGAAGACCTTGCTCTTCCTGTATTTATCAGAAACATTGTGGTCAATCCCACCCCACCCTGCATCGGCCATGTTTGTATCGAATCATCCATCTGCTGTGGACGAAAATACTGGTGATTGCGTCCCTTCCATGTCGACATACGCCGGATTGTGGTATTCGTTATTCACGTTGGGGACAAATTACCATTGCGAACACCACGACTTTCCAACCATACCCTTTCACAAACTCCACGAGTTGCGACGGATTGCACCGGAATTTTACCGAACTGGAACCGAAGACGATCTTTTGGATGTGATGAAAAAGTCATTCACTGAACCGGACTACTATGCCTGTATGGACGTTCATAAACTTAACACCGAGTCGGCTTGAAAAACGAAGTAACTAAATTGGGATGCTCACTTCATTGGGCTGTATTGCAACGACGCTAGTAGATATCAAGATGTACTGTACTCATTTACTGCCAAAAGGAAGAGAAGTTTTTCGATGTAACATGGTGAGATGTACTTTCTCCTTTCATAGATTGAATCTGAAGCCAAGTTTAGATGTTTCGACGATACTTCTTGCGACATGGTAGTTTTTCTTTCAAGGTAGACTTCTTCCTAGATTTCCGTGCATCAAGACCTTTCCAAGGATTCTCTGCCTTCCTTCTTGTTGGAACATGGTACGCAGCACTACTAGGAGTAGTACTAGTACTAGTAGTGCTATGAATCACCAGCAGGGACTGCTGTGGTCCTGGTGGGGGAGTAATTAATAAATTGGAACTCTCGCCAGAGGAGGCAATGTCTATCTTATTATTGCTGTCCATTATAGAATAGTTTCATTTAGGAGTTTGCAGAGCTCTTGCTTTGTAACTTTATTAGCATTGCCAATTGGAACTACTAGCTAGTAGTAACACAAATACGTACTCATGTTGCATTTTTTACTACAGGGGATAAGTACTATCTCCTGTACGGTATGGTACGTCCGTAGCAGCATATCAGATTATTTCTTGCTGAAGCGTTTCGAAGTAATGTACGTAATAGAGCTACTAAGTACGGGCCCCATAATGGCAAGTTATTGGCAATCCCCGTACAAATACTAATAGAAATTTTTAGCTCATTTTTACAGTTAAAACCAGTTAAAAAAGGCATCCAATGGACGAAAATAAAAATATTTCMATTGTTTAATTTCTCGCTAGTCCCAAAATATTTCTATTGGTGGTCCTTAATATTCGAGATAAGCACTGATTTGATATTCCCACTAGTAAGGACCAGGAATAAAAATATTTGCGGACTTAATAGTTTTTTGTGTGGATGGGGGGAGAGGGGAAATAGAGACGGGAAAATGAGAAAAAATTGACGTACGGAAATTGCCAATAACTTGCCGTTATGGGGCCCGTACTTAGTAGCTCTAGTACGTAAATGACGCGTACTGGCTTGTACTGGTGCTTCAGTCCAAGAAGACTCATTAAAAACAGAAAGCACATCTTTCTCGTGCTCTACCACTACGGTTTTCGTCTCGTTGTTCGCGGGTCGCAGGAATGGTAAGTAAAACAGTACGTACCGGCCCAGTAAAAGTTCCTGTACTGCTGACGCGAGCTCGGATTCAGAGAAAAGCTGTCATTGCATCTACTCGTGATTTAGGATCACAGTCATTACTAATCGGAGATTCTGGATTTTTCCTCTATTACTACGAGAATTGGGTTCGCCACGCTGTACGTATCTTGTTTTTGGTGCCATGAAGTACGGCGAGTAGTACGAAACCTTTCGTGCTACTCTGTCATCACTCCTCCCCGAGCCCTTCAGAGTTGACAGGCGGCACCTTACTCTAATCAGAACTCAACATACGTTCCAGTTCGCAACTTGAAACAACCCCTCAGCCACTTGCTTTCTCCAGGATTTAAATTAAAGACATTATGAAGGGTGCTATTCTACTACTTTAAGTCTGTCCGTCATGTCTGTGCTAATTCTTGCCGTCGTGGGGTATTCCATGTACAAACAGAAGAGGGATGAAGTCGAATTCAAAGACTTCCCGGTGGATTTAGATGTCCGTTCTTTCTTTGATACACAAGATGGAACGCAAGATGGAACAAAAGATAGAGCTAAAACCAAGACGAAAAGAGCATTTGTAAACTTTCTCCCCGCCGAAATAAAGATGTGTCGGTATGCGAACTCATTGACAACAATTACATTTTATGAGGGAGATTATCGAAAGATACGAAAAGATTTAGAACGAAGAGTGAACAACGTGCTGGAAGCGAATCCATGGTTGGGCGGACGGTTGGCAGTAAAACCTGGTGACGATCAACTAAGATTGTGGTACGATCCAACTGGCGTTGATTTACCACCCGATATATACACCTGTTACGAACCGGGCATTATTCCATTGAAGCGGACTACGCAGTACGCACAATACAAGGATTGTCTCGCCGATCACGACGTCGTGGTGCCTCGGAGCCACGAATTAGTAGGGAAGAATAGGCCTCTGTGGCAAGTTACCGTGGTGCCAGACATTGTCGAACAAAACGAGCGATTCGCCATCGTTGTCAGCCAGTCGCAAATGATCGGCGACGCATATACATATTATCAGATTTTTCACATGCTGTTCAATTCGAGAAATAATACCATGGAGGTTTTGGTCAATACGGCACCGGTAGAAAAGTTGAATCCAATTCGTAGGGCCGATGTACAGCATTATGTCGAAGAACACATGGGACTTCAAGAAGCATCCTACGTGAAAAAATCCAATTCGAACGTGATCGACGAAGTTTATGACATGGTTAGCTTCCACAAAAAACAAGCGATGATGTTTACCGTCTCCGAGAGTTGGCTGAAAACTAGAACGGAAAAGTGCATAGCGGACAAACGGGAGAGGGACAAAAGCGAATTCATTGCTAAATTCTGCGAGGCCGCCGACGGCAACCACGATGGAAATATCACCCCGGAACCTCGTCGTCGGACGTCATTTTTGTCGACAAGGATGAAATCATCAAGATCTTTCTCCGAAGTCCTTCCGGACAAGACTGGTGACGGGAAGGAAGAACCATCCGCGATGGCGACCAGAAAAGCAGCAATGGCAGCATGGGAGTCTTCTATCAATGATCGCGATCGCTTCGACGACATTGATCCTACCGATGTCTTGCTATCGTGGTGGTTTTGTATATCCAATGCCGATATCGGGCTGTAAGTATCTAGACCTGCAACAATATTTGGTTCCATTAGTGCTGTCTCCGTTGATATAATTTTTGAGCTAACGCGTTCTCAATTCTTGTGTTCTTCTGTTGTTTGTCCTCCCAGATATCCCCACCACTTGCGAAAATCATTGGCCGTACTTTCGGACACTGACGCCGGGAACTATAACACCCCGATTCCTTTCAGAAAGGCCGACTACCAGACACCTCACCAGATACACGAATCCATCAATACGGGCAAACGAGTTGGTTCCGAGCAGTCTCAGAGACCACTGCCGCGGATCACAACTCATTATTCGTTTGCGATGGGTGTCGATTGGGACAAGCTCTATTCCGACCTGATGCCGAGGGGGAGTGGCACGGGGGACCAAACCGAGCCGAGCAATCCCGGGGGCAACGAAGATGGAAGCATCGACGGCAACAGCGACGGCTTTGTGCAAGACCTCCACGTTCCCCTTTTCACGGACACCGACATCAACGCCATGCCCGCCAGGAAGGACGCTTGTCTCATTTTTACGGCCAGGGCCGGGAAAGACCACCCCGGTGGACGAACGATCGGGATGTTTCTGGTAGCCAGCAGAGCCGTTTGCGAGCGGGTGTCCGCGTGTGGCATCGTCGACCGGGGTGCTTCCTCGAGCACGATGGCGGGCATCACGGAAAGTGGCAGGGGCGGCCCGGTCGTCGACTTTGGTCCGGGAACGAGCCCCCGAAAGGTCGGGGTCGTGGCGAGCGACCGTCAGTGACCGGCAACCCCAACAAGAGTCGGGGAGCGCGCAGAAACCAGCCCGGGCGACGGCGCGGTGCGGCGCCGTGGGATTGGGCGTTACCGAGACGGTCTTTTGCCCGAAAGAGCATCTTAGTGAGAGCGCCAAATCCTTACGGTCTAGCGTCGTCAGGGATCGCGAAGAAACTGGTGCCGATGAAGGTTTCTTGGGAAATCGTTGCGTCAAGCCACGTGCTAAAATAATACGTACAATGAACTGCTATCCTATTACTACAATACATATGACGAATACGACAGGCACGGCGTATCAAATAGTTGGGCATTGTCGGTATGTGCGTGTAAAAAAACTAGTATGTGTTGTTATACTTTGTTGTTGTACCATTGCGGTGTTTGCAATGTACGCTGGTGTAGTGCTCCGAAAAGGCTGCGGGTGTAAGAGTAGAGAAGTCGCTCTCCTCTAATTTGCAGGCTTTCCGTCGGTGTGGAAAAAGGTGGTGTAAGAGTTGCTTTTGAGATAGAGACGTACGTGGCGCAGGAGCCCGCATACTTCGTGCGTGCTTTTACTGTTATCGATTGCTGCTCTTAAACGTCTCGTGTGTGTGTTATGCGTGTTCGTTTCGTTGTGCTTTATTGCGTTCTGTTGCGTGGAATTGCAGTGCTGAAAACTTTTATTGTATCAATCAAGGTATGATATCGATTGTATGGTTGGATTGGTAAAATGTGGTGTGGCTTTGATACAAGCGCAGCCGAACATTGCGGATGAACCGATCGATCGATTCAACTCCTTTGATGCTGGTTGGATACTTGTTTGTAGCGTCGTGTTGTGCGGTTTTGGTGCTACTTCTATGAATCATTGCATGGTGCTCTGCTCTCGCACGGGCTCTCTTGCCTCTTCATCGATCGGAAACCGCTCGTATGCACGGCTTCACGTTTCGTTGTTCGCACAGAGGTGAGTTCGAGAACGAGGAGGATCGCTTGCCCGAGGCAGATCCACGGGGCGTGACAATAGGACTGTCTTCTTGAAGCTTGGAGGAAGATGGTGAAGGGGACGGGGTGCCCGGTGGGTGGTGCGGCGGTTCGTGGAGCGTTCCCTCTCGGTTCTCCTGCTGTCCCATGATCAACAAGAGAACGGTTGCGACTTCTTCCTGCTGCTTTCGTTCTTCGGTTTGGTTTCGCTCCTTCTCTTGTTCGTGCTTTCGGCACAGGTCCAGTTCTTCGGCCGACTTCACGGCGTAGTACCGGGCCACTTCCGTAAAGGGCTGGGACAGGGTCCGCGAGACCAGGGCCACGTGTATGTCTTCGCTGTTGAGGCTCTGTTGCTGCAGCACCGAGTCCACGAGGCGTTTCTGTCCAGCGTACTTGGCCGCGGCGTCCGCGTATTTTTCGATTCCCCTCAGACATACAATCTTTGTCTCGTCGTGTGGACACCGGAGCACCCAGCTCCCGTACTCGTTCGAGAGTTCCGTGGGTTGCGCTGGCGATGGTTGCCTTTTTCCGTGGGTTCCCGCGGATGCCGCAGCAGCGGCGGCGGCATCCAGCTGGAGCTGGTGGTGCAGGGCCGCTATCGCTGCGCGGGCTTCTTCTCGCGACAGGCTCAGTTCTACTTCCGAGTACCAACACTGGCTCTTTCGTTCTTGTTTGCTCAGCATCTGCTCCGGTGAGAAATAGGCTGTTTGCTGCAGGCTAAAGGAGACGCGCTTGCGTTTCTTCGTGCTCGGATCGAGTGAGGGTGGGAGTGCGCGTGCACAGGAAGTGTCAGTGTCGTGGCTACAACTACTATTGAGGCTGGTACAACTACTAGCGTTGCTTCTAAGGCTGGTAGTTTCTTCATCTTTTAAGCTACTCGCCGGAGGGAAAGGTTTTGTATCGTCACCAATGGCAGTAGTTGTAGGCGCTTCCGGAGCTGTCATAGTCAACATCATCATTGCTAATGAGATGGATTGTGACTCTTTGGTCTACAACGGTCTGTCTTGTGCGTTTGGACGGAGGGGAGGGCAGCCCGTGTTCGATCGTAGGGGAACGATCTGTTTCCACACTGCGCGTTCGAAGTTCGCTTCGAAGCCCGAATAGATGTCAATACCTGATCGCGTTGTTCTGTACGCTGGAATCGCGGACAACGCAAACGTACTCGTGTACTCGTAACTGCAGTTGAGAGGCGGCACGGACCTTCCCTGCTTTTCTCGAGACCTTGGCACTTTGCACTGATGACGTCTAACTTCAATTTTTTGATATTGACAATGATGCCTTGACGATGATCAGAGAAAAGACACGTCAACTCGGGGTTGACATGTTATCACGCCGGGGCGGGAAAAGGAGATTCACGGTTGTGATCACTTAGTGCATGGTTTGAGGAACGCAAAGAATGCAGAGGCTCTTGACACGGAGGGGACAGGGAACGAATGAAAGCAAGAAAACGCGAACGACGTGGTATCTCCCTTAAGACATCCTACGGTTTCGTTCTGACTTCACCGATAACCGAGGAAAACCCCAACCAATCAAATCACGTTTCGAGGTGGGTTTGATGTTATTCGCCTGGCTTCCCGTCGGCCCACGCGACAAACTCCAACCAGCGTTTCCGTACAAACCCTACGTAGGCAAACGGTAGTACTGCTCCGAAACAGTGGCCAGCAAGACAAATGCTCTATTCTTCGCCTTCTTCTTCCTCCTAGCTCGCACCGTGAAGAAAACGGAAAACACCACTTTCCAGACGGACTTTTCGTCTCGGCGACAAATGAAACCTAGTGAAGTGTACTTTTGGAGAATGAGCGTCATCGGTAGCTTGATTGGCGTTCTGATTTCGTCTGACGTCATTGTGTCAAACGTGCATAAGCTGAAAGGCGATGTGTCCCCTTTGAGAACCACTGAATCAAGACATGGTTTAATTACGGATGGTCGCGAGGCGAACTAGGGAAGGTTATGGATCGTTTGAGTCAAATTTCATGGGAGGCTTGATCGACAAAGAAGTATTCCATGAAACAGAATCCTTTTCGGGGTTCGGCCAAAACACGATTGAGATTTGGGATTTCAAGATCTAGCGTACAGGAGTATCGTACGTAGTAGTACTTTCGTAGGTATGGTCAGGTCGTACCGGATCCGCGACCCTTTGATCGTACCTATCATACCATAGATACTGAGGTCGTTTTGCTGTCACAATTCAAAATTCAAAGTAGAGTGACTGAACTTCGTATGAGTAAGGTACGAAACTTACCGCATGGTACCGTACCATAGGTCGGAACTCGGAACAAAGCAAGGAGCAGGATAGCGCTTGCTTGGGGACGGTTCTTATTCTTACGCCATCCATCTGCCCCCATCCGTCCATGTGCAACAATTCACACGCGACTCGGCTAGCCCAGAATTTTAAAAAAAAATGAATTCCATCGACGTTAAAAAAACCAGCCTGCATTGCTAGCTTTCTGTTCCGTGTTTCGAAAGCAACCATTTGGTCGTACATACCGTATGACTGAGTACGTATGGTACGGTACTAAGTACGCCGGACGACTTGGTTCGGTCGGAAACCCCACCGCAGCCTCTTCCGCTCTGCGCACTAGTAGCAATCGCCCAACCACAAAACAGCAACACACCATGGCCGACAACAAGGAAATCGAGGAGGTCCCCCCGGAGGACCCCATGGCATCCGCCATCGATAGAGCAAAGCCGATCCTCGCCAAGGTATCCTTCGGCTCGATCGTTGGATACTGCAGCGGGGTCGCCCTCAAGAAGGCGGGGAAGCTCGCGGCCGTCGTTCTGGGAGCCGGCTTTGTGGCTCTGCAAACCTGCGCTTCGTACGGGTACCTCACCATCGACTGGGACAAGGTAAAGGGTGACGCCATTAAAAAGGTGGACACGGTGAGTTGAGACGAGTCGAGATAGAGTCGAGACGAGACGAGTTAGCTTTGGCGCAGTGCGGTGTGGCGTCATCGATAGTGACCGACAACATGAGTAGCAACTACAAGGCAACACTATTTGCACGGAATGAGTGGTAGTCGAGGATCGGGGTTCGAGCAGCTTGGGGCTATCGTGCATTCCAATACGATTTAGTGAAGACAGAGGCGAACGCACATGAGAATAGCAAGGAAAAGGAAAGGAACGGGGAAGGCAGCGTTGATGGAGGGGATATTTGCGTCGGGTCGAGTGTCAACAAATATGTGGAAAATGCTGCACAAATACGAAATATGGTGCCTTCCGTCCTTCCATTCATCAATCTGCAATAAAGAACACGCGGTTTACGAAAGCCACAACAATGACTTTGCTGCTACATCCTGAATGGAATTACGCTCTCTGCCGCTGAAGAGGATCGGAATTGATCAAGGAAGAATAATGTTTACCCCCTATTCTATTCGTCGCTAAACAATACCATTGTTGTTTCTGTCCTCTTTTGTTGTTTCGTATTCTTGATTTTGCTCGCAGAGCGGCGATGGCACATTTGATGCAGGTGACCTGAAGGTATACTGGGCAAAGCTCAAGTCTTTACTGACAGCGAACTTGCCAAACAATACAGGATTTTCTCTTGGCTTCTTGTACGGTATCAAGCAAGGATAAACGATTTTTTATGAATGTATGTATCATATTTCTACTCTTCCATACCAACCTGATTACGTATACATCTTTTATTCAACTCCATTTTATGTTATTGCATGCAACAAAATCAACCGTCTCATTCATAAAATCCTGCGCATAAATCGCCATTTTGTGCACCAACGCAAGCTCGACATTATAAACTTGTTTGACAAAGTTTCAACTTGTACCAGGACAATGCAAGAACGAGACCATATTCTTCTTGTGTCAAGAAGGATCTCTTCGTTATTCATATTATATATCGCTTGCCTTAAAACTTTTGTCACATGTCAGCTGTCTCAATTTTTGGTAAACACTCTAGTGCTGTCCTGTGTCCCATCACATCGATTCATAGTACGAGTACTTTATTCCGTGGGAAATGTAAGTATCTTGTTGTTCCAAATTCATTCACCTTTAGTCGTCCGAACGCTCGACGAACCACCACTTCTCTGTTCTAAAGTCCAGAAACAAACTTTCAAAAAACCCGTGAACAGAGCTGATGCCATACACCATGGATCAAGCAACTATTTGGATGACCCCTGAGATCAATGGGAGGTCCATTACAGTATCACGTACAGTAACTCGTGTTCAATCACAACAACCAGGTGCCTCATTCTTAACGCATTCGACACCTGAAGCTTCACCCCAAGAAGGATCAGAACTAGTCGAATGGTGTCTGCCATCTGCATGGTTTTGGCAAAGAAGTCCGTGAAAGAGCAAGAGTAACGTACCAATAGGCTATTACAAAGTTCTTGATGTAGAATTGCAAACCATGAAGAAAATGTTACTTGAATTATCTATTCCGAGGACCACGACAGGACCACACGGTGGTCCGTACACATATGGTCCTGCAGTCCTGGCATAAAAATAACCCTAATTTTGTAAAAAAAAAACACTGGTTATTTTTGGGTTATTTTTGTACCGTGACGTCRCAAAAATTGTGCACCCCTTCCCCACTCACACCAGCAGAAGAACAAGCAGTATCTGCTTGACCAAATAT